TTCATAAATGAAAGAGTGAGATCTGGCATACCACTCAATTTTATACAACAGTCAATCTAAAAGATTAATTATATATGTTGATATGTCATATAATCAATATTTGTGAGAAGCTCTATAAAACATACATAGCCCTGAATTTCTGCAAACACTGTTGCTCCAGTTCGATCAATAATCGCATCAACTTCCTCAACAACATCAAAGTATGCTTCATTGTTGGTATATTTCACTCCAGTTCGTCTCCAAGGAACATTGGATAATTGTCCACTTGGCAAGATTGCACTAACACTATGTACAAATTCATAAAATGTATAAAAATCCTTAATAAGTAATTTATGTAAATGTTTAACATGAATTGAAATGTACTTACTTGGATTTGCCTGTAACAGTATTCGCGATGGTGCGTAAAATATTAGGTGGCTTGATCAATTCTTTCAGTATATTAGATTCTGTTGCCAGAGGGAAACCATTATCTAACATTTCATCCAGCAATTCATATACTACCACATAGTTTTCTTTTATAATAGTTTCTGTACATTCGCTGAAATAATCTTCAAAAGTGTCCACTACTCTGTGCAAGAATTCAATAACAAATAATGGTGGGACTGAAAGAAGTAAAGAATGTTTATATCAGTCTACATATGACATCACTTTGTACAAATGACATTATTTATCAAAACTTACCCTCTGTCATGCATACTGCAACAAAGAACATATTACAGCGATATATACTAATGAGATAATGATGTGGAGTAGCTATTACCGGAGGTGTATCCTCCGGTGACAAGACTCGTCGCTGTTGATCAAAGAAGTAGTCGCAGAGTGAACGTGCAACTGCACTCTTCCAATGTTTCTCCATGAAGACATCTCTATAAGCATACAGAACATATTAGAAATGTCGCGTAAGAAATATAAACGTTACAGCAATGATAAAAAAATGTATAAACTCTGTGAAAAATGCGAATCTGTAATTTGTGAAATAATATGTCAAACTTATGGTCTACTTTCTTTATCAAGCTATAATGTACTTACCCTGAAGAATTTATAATAAAGAGACTGTTTATCATCTTTGTGAATAATAAATTGTGCTTGAGGATAAAATTTTAAACTACAAAGATAGATAATTTCAATATTAATGCACAAAATCGGAAATGTTTATCATATTATGTATAACAATATGCTATGTAGGTTTAGATTTCTCATTTTAACTTCCTGGGGAATTTTGAAAAATTGATGTTTTGATTTAAGTTGCACACAGTCATATGATTGCGACGCATGCGCATATCACTCTTTTTTGACAGATTTATCTTCTTGCTCTCCCGAAATACAGATGTCATGTACTTGTATTTTGTAAACTAAAAATGAGTGAAATATCAAGTTGGGAAGATATCGAAAATGATCGTAAGTTGAAAAACAAATGTCTATCGAATAAAAATTTATGAAGAGCTAACGAAATATACATCAATTTCAGAGTTCTTTAAACAACTGTTGGACATCGACTCCAAAAAGACTGACGTCAGCCAATTGTTATCAGTGGCTCAACAATTAAACAAGTTGGGACAAGGTAAAATTCAAATTGCTTTATATCATTGAAATATCGACATAATAATAATAAAAAATACTTATAATAATTATAGTAAATGTAATAATAAATATAATAATTACAATAAATGTTGTTTCTAGCTATTGAGGTGCTGAATGCCGAACTGCAAAGGCAAGTACTTGTGAATCACGAGGATTTATTATCTCAAGCAACATGGGTAGAAAAATTAGAAGGAGTACTTTTTATAATGCAATCTCACATACAAGTAAGTAAAGAAATATTAATGTCAATCTGAATTTAAAAGGACATGCAGTATAATAATTTCTATTTCAGAGCCTCTTATCAGCAGTAGAGCGATTACGTGGCAAGATTATCGATCCATTTAATCGAATTGAAATGCAAACGATTGTATTAGCACGGCTTCATGAAACTTCCGATCTTTTGAGAAGAGTCTCTAGAATGCAACATTTATCGAAACGTTTAAATGCTCAAATGAATAGCATTACGCAAGGGCCAGATATTGTTAAAGCTGCTAATAGTCTGCATGAGCTTGGTACAATATATATATCATTTTGTGTTTCTTCATTGATCTCATATATTACATTATATTGTGAAATTTATATTTATAGAACAACTGATGGCAGATACAGATCTTAATGGCCTAGATGTAATCGCAGATGATCAACAGGCTATAAAGACACAAAGAGCTACTGTGCAAAGAATTGCTACTCATACATTAACACAAGGTTTACAGGCGATGGATAGGACGAAGGTATTATATATTATTTTTAATATGGCTAATAACGCTTAATCTGAATCTACAAATAAAATACATGGTGTTAATTAAGTTTAATTATATTATTAGGTGTTGGAATTAATTCGTAGCGTTTTTTAATGAAAGAATGTTATTTATTTCACATGAGCATTAAAAAATACATTAATGAAAGTACTTCCCATCACTTGTAAAACGCTACGAATTAATTCCAACACCTAATATTATAATTGTCATATTAATATATTTACACTAATATCTATATATAATGGATAGGTGAGCACGGCTGTGCAGGTCTTTCAAAATTTAGGAATAATAGGCAGCGCTGTGGACACAACTATAGAGTCTACCTTGGCTGAAATAGAAAGAATTTCCACAGAATCATTGGATGTATCTTTCGTAACAAATCCGGATTTTGGAAAACGTGGAGCGCCAGGCAGAGCTGCGATTCCGTCGCCTGGATCGTCTGGAAACTTACGCACGAGAATTTGGGAAAATCTTGAACGTCTTTTCCAAGATACTTTATATACGCAATGTCTACAAGTAAATGGACAATATGCATTTTATTCGTTTTTCATTCAGTCATTTTCAAACAACATTGTTTTATATCTAGATTGAATTGCTGCAAAGAATATTATTGGAGCATCATATGAAAGGATTTCACGATTTATCCGAGAAATTTTGGGATAAAGTAAATGCTCTTCTTGCGAAAGTTTTGATCGAACGTGCTCAAGGTAAATTATTATTAAATATATATTAAATACTGAATTTAATTCAAAGAAAGTTTCAATGAAGGATCTTGCAGGATCATCATTTGTAAAGCAAGCCCTGGAAGGAGAATATCCAAAATTTTTAAGAATTTTTTTAGACTTGAGTAAACGTTTAAAAGAAAGATCTCACAGTATTGGGATTTATGGTATTGAGTAAGTACGTCTTAATAGACGGATATAAATGACATACGAAGCTTTATATTAATGTCTATGTCTTTATATAGCCGCAATGTTTTATTACCGTTCGAAAACGCATATTTATCACGTTCCGTGTCTCGACTTCTGGATCCAGTTCACAATATGTTTTCTGGCGAGGGTTTGCCGACGCATGACGAGATTGACAGTCTCATACGTATGATTACAAAGTAGGATTGGCATATTTTCTACATATATACATCTTATCTTGAATAAATTATAGCAGAATTATATCCCGCTTCTAGTGAACTCAGCGTATCACTGGTGGACGATGGACTTTCTACCGTGGTGTCGCGTAATGTAGGAAAAGCAATAAGACTATTCTGCTTGAAATGTGAGCAAAGTGTGGTGACAGGCGGTGAGGCCAGCCAAGTAATCGATTCCCCTACTACTGGTCAACAGACAAATGTTATGCTCGCGAATCTTCTCCATTATCTTTCCAGCCAAACAAATCGTGTAATAGCTAATCTGGCAGGAGGTTTATCCTCTGAAGGCGGCGTTGTCATTACTACGGCGCTCAAGGAAACAGATGAATTAACGAAGAATTTACTCGCGCCGTTGTTAACTTCTATTAGTGATGCGATCGAAAGTATTATTTTAACGATGCATGATGATCCCGAATTTAGAGAGTAAGTTGTTTTTATCTCCTTAAATTGTTCTTATTTCCTTTCATTTTCATCTACTGTTCTCACATAGCATATTATTTTTATTATACAGCACAAGTAACCCTCTAGGAAAGGAAATTGGCTGTTCTCTTTATATGCGTGAATTGCAAGGCTTCATCCTACGATCTATAAATACATTCTTACTACCGTACAAAAATCAAGTGGTTGTAGCTGAAAGGTAAGCTTTGTTTCTTTTTATCCTATTGTTCATAAAAAACAAATTATTAAATGTTAATATATATTTCAGTTGTAAAGCAGTCGCATCGAGATGTATAGAATTATTTGTGCGTCATGCTTGCTTGTTGAGACCTTTGACTGATTTTGGAAAAGCAAAACTTCTGATAGATTTCGCTCAGGTATGTCTCGTTCATGTAAAGACAAATATATCGATTATAGATACAGATGAAACAGATTGCGAGTTTTAGATGGAAGTAGCTGTGACGCCATTGTGTCGTGGCGGTCAGATGGGTCTACTCGAGCAACAGCAATACAGAATACTGCGAGCGCTAAAAGCTTTACTTCCCCTCAATCCCGAGAAGATGGTGGAAAAAATTCTCGAAGGACAAGGAGAAAGTAGCGTATCACCATCTCTTATTCTCCTGCATTTATTTTCCGGCGCACCTCCCGAATTAGCATCACCACATCAGGTGAAATGGATTTTTTGAAAACATCAATTTATTTAGACTGATTAAAGAAAAAATGATTACATTTTATATAAGGAAATTAATAAATTTATATTATCTCATACAGAGCGCTGGATGGTCTGTAGGCCGATTATCTCAGTGGATGGACAGCCATCCGAACGAAAGAGACAGATTAGCGCTATGCAATGGACCATTGGAACGTTATCAATTAACAATCCGTCAACAAAATCTGCCATCATTTCACCCTCTCTTTCCACAGATGATGAAATTAGCTAACTTGAGAGAACACTCAAATCAATAAAAAAAATATATTAATTAGTACAAATATATTAATAAAAATCATATATTTCCCGATATAAGCATATTTTTCCAAATGTATATAAACTATAGGAACTAAATTTTAAGTTGTAATTATATATAATTACATAATTGTAAACTTAATGTACTATAAAACATTGTAATATTTGAATTCATTCGAAAAAGTATGGTAAATTTGTTCGAAAACGAAGTATTGAAGATATTCTAATGTTACATATATTCCATAATTTTTGAACATACATTTTTTTGCACAAGTATAGTCCTACCATTAATGTAATGCTTATTGTTATAGTCCAACTGGATTTGATACTCTTGGGACCAATCCAAATTGCCGGTGCATTGATATTAGTTTCCTTGTCGATCTACAATTTAAAAATATGATTAATATTGAAGTGATATAAACTGTTTAAATGTAAAACGATTTAAATTTCATATTAGCTTTATATATAATGTGATACCTGTTGGGCTAGTTTTTTAACTTGTATTATCTCGTTCTTTAGAAGTTTCAAAGTTTTCTGCGTTTTCCTCAGTTCTTCTTCACATTCTATTCTTTTTTCAGAAGACAAAACGACATTTTCGTTTGCAGCTTTCAGCAAATTATTTGTAATGTATTGAAAACTAGAAGCTATCACACCAATCTGTTTTTTTGCATTTGTTAACGATATTACACCGTCATAAATTCTGAAATCATTTATACATATATAATTATTACACGAATTATTTTGCTTCATATATTCCTATTAAAAAGATGTAAAAAAATATAACATACGTATATGAATCGGTTTTCTTAAGTTTGCCAAAACTGTTTAAAAGCCACTTCCTGCTATGAAATTTTTCAAGATTTTCTAAGAATTGATCTCTATGAACAGTAATATCTACTCCTAGGCGACAAAGATCATCTTCTGACAATTGCAAAAAAGTTTTAATATCCATTCCTTGAAATAAATTGGCATAGTTTTCCAAACCCATTCCATATAACATCACTGATATGTCATAATCTACAAGTTCCTTTTTTCTAGGATATAAATTTGGAAATAAATCTTTCCAAGTTGCTACGTCAGATATCTCGTAAAACGTTTGTATTTCTTCTTCATCTTCATTCAACAGAGCAGATATCTAGAAAAATGAAAGAATTTACAATTGAAGTATAAAATTAATGAGAAAGATATCAATTACCGCTGAGAATCCTTTTGTATCTGCGATATCTTTGGCAGATAAATTGTATAAGTCTGTCAGTGAAGTATTCGCATTATGCGCCAGAAGAATTTTGACGTTATCAGGTTTATTAGCTGAAGTGGCATACATCAATGCCTATAATTGGATCGAAAATTTATGAAAAATATAGGAAAATCTTTGATACTTAATGATGTTGAAACTTACCGATTTCCCATCGCTGTCGCAAGCATCAATGTTCTGTACGTATTTTATAAGCTCGAAGACAAATTCCGCATCCTTTGACATACAGGCGTACATTAAAGCCGTTTCCCTGTAAAAATTGTGATTGTCAGTCAAATTAGTAACTATGCTAATAATTGTAATATCAGAGAGACATTAACTTCTCTGTTTCTTATTTATATGACATTAATTTTACTTGTGCTTATTTGTAATATTTGCATCAGCTTTCGCTTGTATTAAAAGCTCAAGACATTTCATAGAGTTTTCTGATGTTCCCTTTGTAGAATTGCACAGCGCCATAAGGGGTGTAAATCCATCTGTAATCCATTTGGTGATTATAGAAACTTTATATGAAACTTAAAATAACGAATAAAATAACATCAATCCATACCTTTATGCTTATTCGGATTTGCACCATGTTCCAAAAGATGCTCTACTATTACTGGTTCCACCGATGAAATTGCATATAATAATAGAGTCCATCCAGTATATAGGAACTTATTGACATCATATTCTTCTATACAAACATTTAGTGAGCATTATCTATTAGTGTACATACATTTAATACAAAGGAGAGAGAAAGAAACAAAATCTGAATCTGATTAACCCTCCAATAACAATTTGTATCTTTTTTGCATAAGTGAAATTTTACTTTCAAATTTCATTCTCATTTTTGCTCAAATCCAATTTTAATTAAAAATTTTATCACTTAAGTTAACAAATAACTTAATAACATAAGAGAGATGTTGAAAAGTAATTGTGAATTTTTTCTGAAAACCTAGAATAAAAAAAAAACTAAATAAAAAATACCCAAATTATAGAAATAGAAAATAGGAAGTAAAAATCTAAAAATATAATTGCAAATAGAAGATTAATACATAGGAACTTATATATATTATATTCATTCTATAAGAAGTCAGTAGGTAGAATAGCCCTAAATCTTATCGGTGAATCTGTGAAATTAACAAACAGTATGACTAACTCAACTTGTATGACTAAGACTACTGATTTTCTTAAAACTGGCCAAATTCGACTTTAGTTGAGCTAAACAACTTACTATACAATTTAGTTGTAGATGCAAAAGATTACAATCACCTATTTAGGTTAAAAATGATTAAGATTTAGATTTCCAACTACTGACTCATTGTAGCATCAGTTTTATGCATATAATGTTTACGTTCAAGATATTCCTGTATCACGTTCAATTGCCCCATCGTACATGCCTTTATAAGGCGATCTTCGTAGATACGTTCCTCATTGTTTATCTCGGAATTGATTTTCGTCTCTTCCTTCGTCTCTCCCTTCCATGAAGTATAATTATATTTTTTGACAGTAGATTCTTTCTGTTAAGAAACAAAGTGAGAAAAATATCATATAGTGAAACAAATGGTGCTTTCCAGCGACACAGTGATCAATAATGATCATGTCATCTTCATTTAACATTAGCAAACACCAAGGATGTACACTGTATCATCTGTGTCTCTGCTGAAAAGGACTCAAAATTTTACATGCACCTATTAATCGTACCTCCTCGAGAGAGTAAAAAACGTCATCATCCTCATCGTCCTCCTCATCGGACATGCCGGCAGGCCTCAAACATGGATACTTTGACATCGCTATCAATTGCTACTGTCAATAGTGTTAACTGCGATTGAGAGGGTATAAAAGAAAATTCTTTAGTCTTATGTCAATTCCCTCGAGAGCAAAAAGCAATGAAAGAAATTAAATAATACTGAAAAAATACCAGAAATTGGCGGCAACAGTAAACTGATTGTCACGCGTGCGCCGTATGTATGTTTACTTAAGATCACTTTTCTCTTTTTCTCTTCAATGTGGAAAAGGAAGAAAGATGAATCATGCAAGAAGTCAGTTTCAGCTAGAAAGAACAGGCCTCTAAACTGACCTAAACTCGCGTTTGTTTACGAAATTCTGGATAGAAAACAAAGGGTGTCTGACATTAGCCGATCGATAGATGCGATCCGATTATTGTAGATCTTTTCACCATCTCGTACTGACGTCTTGATATTTCTTTGAAAACTTCAATTGCCAATTACCAAGCTAAGAGATGATCGAATGCAGTTTATATGTAATTTTGCAGAAGCGCACGTTGCGGTTGGAAGTGGTTAGAATGTGGCGCAAAGTTATCCAGGATCTGCTATTACTATTTTATCCGATCCTTTATATGTAATCAATCTACATAGATAGATAAGTATCTGCTAAGTAAGTTTAGTTAATTAGATAATTTTCATATAATAGCTAATATTTAGTTGATTAGATAATTTTTCTCCTAATAGTTTCAGTTAAAATAATAAAAGAAATAAGTTAAATAAACCATCTTACGTGACTAAAGTCGGTATTTATAGTTGGATCTTATATAAAACTGTCTTAAGTATAATCTTAAGATATCATAAGTCAATCAGTATTTACTTACCTCCATGTTGATAAAGATGTATGACAATTGTGGCCTAAAAGGGTGATACAAATCTACAATATAATTTGGAATAGTAGAGCTTCCATTAATACAACTTTGTCAATATATTTTTCTTGTATTTTAAGATACTCATTAAGATGCTTATTATTAAATTGACAATTAATGTATTTCCACAACATATTTTCTAATGTTCTATTTCTATCAATGTAATTTGATTTTAATCTCAGTTCAACCAACTCATTATTTTTAATTCTATTTAATTTTTTTTAATTTTTTTAAATTCATATTAAATTTTTCTAATTCTAAAAATTAGAAAAATTAGAAAAAGATGGAGTCAGTTGAACTGAGATTAAAGTTAATCTCCATTGATAAAAACAGACATAAGAGATGTCCTCAGGACATCACTCGGAGAACTGTGTTGTATGGTTAATTTGTGAAATTATTTTCAGCTTCGGTTTGATTAAAAATTCTTTTAAATTTGACAGACTAAATAGATGTGCAATTTACAGAACTGAAAAATGTATTTGCAAATTGATATATAATTTATCATCAAGCCTCAAAATTTATTTCGACTGCAAATAAGATTTTTTTCTCTTATTTAATCCATCAATAGATTCACCGCTATCATATATATATATATACATAAAACTTTACTAAACAATCACATATAACTAACTGTATAATTGTTGTATTTTTATACAATTCGATTTATTCCTATTTTTCGTTTAGATTTTAAATTAATTTTTATAAAAAAATAATCAATTCTTTTCTATATTTATTTTATTTTGTGATACATTACGAGACTGTTCATTTAACTTAACGTTAACATAGTGCATACATCATATTAAATTATTACAACCTGAAGATAACAATAGTAGTAAAGAATTATATAAGAATGATAGTAGTAAAGAATTTTATATCGCTTTATCAATAAGAAGTGCAATATTCTGATTATAAGAATATTATATATGCATTGTATATAACAAATAAGTAATATATATTTAGTAGTATATTTTATATGTATATACACATACACATAAATGTATATAACAAATAAGTTGGAACAATATTTTTGAAATAAAAAATTTATATAATTTAATTATATTATATTATATTAATTATATTATAAATACTCTAATATTTTTAAAATGCGTCGGCAACATTTAGAATTCGCACCAAGTTTTTAAATAAATGAATTTTACTAAACTTAATTATTTATTAAACCTCATTAAATTCGATAGATTTGTTTTCAGTTTTACTGAATTTTTATTAAATTTTTCTAATAATAATAATGATAGAGAGATCAATATACAAACAAGTAATTAGATCAAAATTTAGAATCAATTTATTAAAACAGATTTTGACATTAATAATAATTATTGACATTAATGATAATTATTTGTGCATTGACCTCTCTATTACCATTATCGTTTCGTTGCAATTTTGAGTTTAAAATTTGAAATTTTGTTATAAAATCTTGTTATAAATTATATCTAAATTTAATTATTTATTAAACTTTAAATTAGATAAAAATCAGCAAAGATTTCTTTCAAATGTTGATTGTTGGGATCTTTATCGATTCCATGAAAGTCTCTGTTGAAAGACATCGACGTGAGCAATACTTCTCGTAAATTCAAGCCGGCAATGCACGCGTTGTTTTTACTGTGCGGTATGTAAGTACCATACGTGAAAAAAAACAACTTGTCGATATGCAATTATGTAAGTTGCGCGCGCATTGTTAAGCGCGCTGACGAGGAGGTTAAGTCGGACTTGTGACGTACGTGTAGTACTGCATAGCGCACAGTGCACAGTACGGGTGCAACTTCAATGTTAATTGCTGTGTTTCGCTACCCGTTATTGGCCGCTTTCGCGAGTGGCGACGGCAAGAATCAGAGGACTTCACTCGCTTGATCGATGTACTTGCCTCCGTGACGGTGTGGAACCCAATTAGGGCCGTTAGAAAGGGCATCCGCGATATCATCGGACTCTGCCGATTCTGCCGACAATCATCTACATCTACAGTCTGCATAGCGACCGAAACTTTGCTTGCGATAAGTGATAAGTGCACAGTAAGCGAACGTCCTATCTATGCGTACCTTTACGAATTTCAATTCAATTCGCATATGGGCACTTTCGTTTTAGTAAAACAATATTTACTATAACAAGCAGGAAATATTGACGCTGGAAATGCGCTTCTGGAATAAAATGCGATTACCTAATCATACGTATTTGTTTTGTACAGCACGAGAAATATTTTCGTTATAATGGTACAGGCGATTAGAGTTAAGTCAGAATCGGATTTTAATGCCTTTGTATGTAAAGAAATCTATCTACTTTTGATATTTTTGTTATTTTTGGTATTTGAGACAAAATCGAATAAAGTATATTTTTGATACTTTTGACAAATTCTCCTTTCTCTGCCACATCAGCATGTACCAAAAACGATTATTTCACGACTGCAGAATGTATGTAACATTTGATGCAAAGGGTGCTTTCCAGTAAAGGACAAATGACGTAATAGTTTGCTTTCCATCAAAATTCAGATAATTCTCATTTGTTATGTTATTGCCTGTATTCATAGTTAAGTCTTATATTTAACGAGGGAGTTTTCTACAATAAATCATTGCCTAAGCTTTAAGTCTTAAGCTATAAGAAATTGACCAATCAATAATTTTTTTTTACATTCGACTGTGATTGGTTAATTTCTTATAACTTAAGACTTAAAACTTAAGTATAGCTTATTGTAAAAAGCTTATAAAACTTCTTTAAATTTAATCTTTGGATGCTCTACAAATTATTTTATTGATTACTGAGCATCTAAAGATAAATTTAAAGACCTTAAATATAAGGTCTAATTGTGAATACAGGCATATGATTCAGTTAAATGCACATTTCTTTTCATTCTGACATGTGAGAGTCAAAACTCAGTTTTTATCTACACAAGCTTGAAACATATCTATATACTTTACTGAGTTTCATTAACTCATGTTAAAGCGAAGTTTTAAAACCTATTATTATATTGACTTTGTCACCAAAGTAAGCAATGTCATTATCTGAGTGTAAAATACGGTACTTTAGACTCATTATCAGTGTTTCACTTGTGCAAAAATGGAAAGCAACTAACGTAACACAAGGTGTTCCATTTAGTGACATAAGTCGATGCAAACATTATTTTATCTTTCTTGGCATTCAGTGATTAACAAAGATAGAATGACACTTGTGTTATTAAGTGCGTCAAAAATACCTTATCTTTTTTGGCATTCCATTCAATGACAAAGATAGAACTACATTTCTGTCGATTTGTGTTACCAAGTAGAAAGTATCCACAATAAATCATTACATCCTTATTGTTTGCTGTTAAACTGAGATGAAGTGATCATTCTGTTATACCAGAGATTAGTGCTTTCCAGCAAAAGACACAAAGTAATATAAATGTAACACAAGATCTGTTTTTTATTCTTGCACTAGACTGCAGTAGAACTCTCTTTCTCGCTTTCGCCAAATAACATATACTTATCACTTTAAGTTCCAAAAGTTTAGTTACAGAAAATAGATTTACAGTGTAAAATTCATCTTTTGACAAATAATAAGGATGTAATGCTTCATTATATTGACACTGTATCATTCGTGTCTTTTGCTAGAAGCACCAAAAAGTCAATTCTCTGATTATTATCATTATTATTATACTGAACTTATTAAAATATTCCAATATATACTAAATAATATAACTTATTAAATTAAACACACACATATACGACTTATTCAACTGGATATATCCTGTTTTCTTTCATATTGTCACTTCTACAAGCTTCTTGAATTCTGATCATATTTATATTCAGAGCATTTCTTACGATACCGAAAGAAACAGCGCTTAAGAATGTTATGTCGTTCAACCACTGTGGTGCGCGAATACATGAGTATACTCTCAGTAAAGTCCCTAAGAATACCGGTGTCCAGAAAACTATGCACAGAATCAATGATAACGTGATAGTATCAAATATTCTTACCATGCACTCTATCTCTAAAGTCATGCTTTCATTTTCCTTGCAACTTTCCTTTTCTGTTGCATCTATATCTGTCCAACTGTGATTTCTTGATCTCTGTGGCATGCTGGATCCTTCTCCTGAATTTTGACGACGAATCTTTTTACCATCTTTGGAAGTAAGATCGGTTTTTGCTCTTAACATCGCGAGTATATTTTTACACGTGTGCTTTCCTCGCATTTGTAGGATGCAGGAGAGCAGAATTGGCAGAAAGTATATCGTAAAGGATAACACAAACAGTTGCAGTTTTAAGAACTTGGTTGAAACGAGGCACTCGTTGGTCATATGCAATGAATTGTTCTGCTCGGTCCTAGTATTAATATAACGATTATCATTTTTGTTGGAAAATAGATCCTTGATTGAATTTGGCTTTCTCTTTTCCATGTAATTCTTTAGGTTGCTAATCTTAGGCTGGTCTCCATCCTTGGGTCGACTAACTAAATGGTTATAATGATTATAATGATTCTTCGCTGAATACGCACTGGCAGCTTGAATACGTTTCATTATCTCATCGTATATTTGATTATTGGAAACGAATGTTGTATTTTGCACGATGGAAGTATCGGTGGTCGTCTGCGTTGTGCTTTCCTCTGTACTTGCGAAATATATTTGTGCATCCTTTTGATGACTATCATCCTTATTTTTAATTGACACTTGCGATACGCTGCCCAGACTCTCAGATATAGTTACATCTGATTCTTCTGACGCATTCTTTGACACATCGTAGAATAATGATACTTCTGG